AATAGCAAGACTAATGGAGGATTATTCATGAACTGCTATGAGAGGAGAAATGGAGGTCATACCCATGAGTACGTTGGCCTATAAATAAGGCCGTGTTCAACACTTTGTATATAGTTTAGTTCCCTATCTTATTATCATTGTATAACCGTTATAAATACATATAAACCCTCATCGCTTCAATACATTATCAGTACCAAGTGTACTCAATCAAATCACCAAACAGTTTAAAAACCAAACCCAACAACAAAAATGGAGAAAACAGCCGATAGCCAGACTAGCCACCGAAGACTCTTACTCACCGACAAAAACTATTTTGTTTGGGAAGTAATGATGAGTGGAGAACTCGACAACATCAACTGTTTAGACTACGTCCTAGGAGTAGACAAGGACGAAGAGAAGAAAGACGAACGAGCGAAGAAGTCAGCCACCCTTATCACTAGGTACCTAGATGAAGAACATATAGGTACTATTGCAAGTGAGTTGGGGAAAGAAGGACGAAGAAACGGAAAAGCGATATGGGACGTACTAAAGAGAAAGTATGCCGATGATAATCAGCAAACACAAGTTATGGCCTTCACCGAATTTGACCGAATCGACTTCAGTAACATAAAAGATTTCAAGAAGGAAATCAAGACAGCTATAAGTCGAATTAGATCGTCAGGTTTTGAACTTGGATCGCAGGCACTTGCCGTCATGGTCTTAGGAAAACTTCCTAAATCATTCGAGTCGTTTATTCGAGTGGTCACCCATGACGACAAGAGACTTGAAGTCGAAGACGTTATCAGGAAGTTAGAGAAAGATTACCTACCACCGTGTCCTTGTGGCAGTCGCCCGACGACGAGTGCACGCGGACTGCCTTTGAGGCACAAAGGCGACTCGCGTGCCCTCGTCGACGAGCGAACATCACACGGACATGATGTACAGTTTTGAGTAGGACATAAAGAAGAAAAGAAAGGAGTCGCGTTCACAAACGAACGGACAGAAGCAAGATCAGAAACGAGACCAGAAACGAGAACTTGTTACAATTGTAACAGAACTGGTCACTTAGCCCGAGATTGCAGAGTAAACAAGAACTCAGGAGGCAATCGATTCCAACAACAAAGAAACAGATCAAATGCTCACATTGCGAATCAATCAGAAGACGAGGACCCGATTGCACTTGTGGCAACCGTAGAGGAACAAGTAAGTGCTCTATTTGGATCAGAGAAGAAGAAAGAAACAATCCTAGATTCAGGAGCCAGTGAACATATGTTTACAAGAAGAGATGATTTTCATACTTACCAAGAGAGTACTGGAAAAGTTCAAACAGGAGAAGAGAACACCAAGATCGAGGTGATTGGGGGAAGGC